CACGCTAGGCACCTCCCGTGCGTCTTGGGCAAGTCGCGGTGCTTCTCTTGCTGCTCAGGGACGCTGTCCCTGCTAGGTGGGTCTCCACCAGCTTGGACCAGCCTAGCAGACACCTTTGTGCTGTGCACCGCAGCGGGAGCAACATGAACTGGCTTCCTGGCCCTTTATTCTCCAGCCCTTAGTCTCCTCTGGTAGGAGTGCCCAGTTTAATCGTGTAGGTTCAAAACATTCCAAAAGTTCTTGTTTACACTTGATCTGGTAGAGCCATCTGTAGCTGCTGTTCCCCATAGATACGCATTTGGGGGGGGGAGAAAGGGGTGCCTCCCTTTTGTGTCAGTGGGCCTAGGGTGCAATAGAGTGTGGTGGTGTCCTCATTTGGATCACGTTAAGGATAACGTCCATCCGTAAGAGCGGGAGATTGAAAACTCCCTCTGGTTCGCCTTCGAAGCCCTACAGGGAGTCCCCACAGAGCTTCCTCCTGGGGGGGTTTCTTGTTATGGGGAAGCTCGCTGGGGGGCCCAATAAGCACCTTTATCCAACGGATCATAAGGGAGCTCCAAAGGGGAAGGATCCATTGTGGGCACGCCCTGGTGAGTCGGCCCTTCTGAGCTTGAGTGTATGTGTGCATTGGCGTGCCCTTCTCCGTGGCATGAGCTGTGCGTGCCTGCGTCTGGATGTGTGTGCAATCTAGGCACCAAAGACCATGATGAGTTCACCACCTTTGCACTCCGCGTCGCTCGGTGTACGGAGCTTGTAGGTTTCATATCACGAGAACATTTTAAATGTTTGGTTTGGTTTTGGTTTTTTTTAAATTAAGTTCAATTTAGTTCGGTCATTGTACCTAAGAGTTTTCAATAATAAAGAGAGACTCGAAAGCCTGGCTTCTGCGTGTTTGTCGACAGCCAAAGTGGATGACGGGACTGTAGTGAGGCCCGCTATGTCTTCGTAGTCAAGAACTATGTAAAAAAGAGGAATATGTTCTGAAATTGTCCCCTTTTTGGTGGGGTGGAGTCATGAAACTCCTAGTAGTGTTTCTCAACCTTGGCAACTTTTGTGTAGACTTCAACTCCCAGAATTCCCAGCCAGCATGCTTTAAGATGGGTGGAGTTCAACCTCCCCAAATTCCCCCCCAAGCACACCCCCCTGGGGGGGTGTCTTGGGTGTGGAATCCCCCCCTTTCAAA